GTTGAAAGAGCATGAATAGCTGCAAATTCTCTGAAAATTGTGTCCCTATCTGACCAGCCGTTCAAGAGTTATGGCCGAAAATGTGCCCTTGCAAGGAAAGATTTTTTTGTTGCATGCTGTCATTTGTTGGCAGCACTGTATTTGAATGTGAGCAGACCGTGCGCAACTTGTCGTATTATGGAAACACGCGAAAGTGTGCAGAATTTTGCCCCAAGTGTCCAAAAAAGTCCAAAAAATCACGTTAAAAAACCACGTATTGGGCTGTACGGCGGGGGGTGAAGCCCGCCGCCGTGCAGCAGGACTTTTGCCAGCACCCTCGTGACGTCGCAGATATGTGGCTTGATTATTGGTAGTTGACGTTGATTTAGTGACTTTGGCAAGTAACTTAGTTTGAGTCGTGTCAAGAAGTCAGGTAGGATTCAGTACTAGGCAGTAGTGAAACGTGAGTGGCAGTCTTTGCCGGTTTCTGAGGGCATCCTGGATTTGGTGTGCAGCGCTGTGGAAATGGCTTGCTGTGGAGGTCCCAGCACTGGATGTTGTATCAAAGGTACGACCTCGTAGCACGTGCTCAACTTAAAAAAATTCAAAAATTGACTTGGATCTGTGGGAGTCCGTGAGAGAACGCCCACTCGTTCCGTTGTGACAGATTCCAGGGCCACGTTGAGGGGCCCTACCCCACCACCCATTGCTGCTTCTGGACTTGTTTTAGGTTTGGGTCCCGCGCACGGACAGAATGGGTACGAAAATGTGAAAAAATGTAAATGCATTTGTTTGGCTCCTGGGTGGCTCGCACACCGTGGCACTATGCCGGAAATTTGAGTTTTTTCCGGCCTGGAAAGCCTGTCAGTGAGGCGCAAGAACTTGTAAATCATGTCCTGAGGGCCAGCATAGTGGCAGGAGTGTGTGGTCAAAATTTCACTCAAATCCACTGAGAAACACCAAAGTTACGGTCAATTGAATGCCATATGAAATTTATGGGTAGGCTGCCCCCTTAAGGCAAAAATTAAAATTTCACCAGTTGTAGTCTTCGGGGTGCTGAGTCGAATGGTCGTGGTCCTAGGAAGCTGAGACGCTCCCTTCCTACTTGAATCCCAATCGAACTCGCGCACTTCCACCGAAACTGGGTGACTGCGCCCTACTAGATGGGGATTTGTATGCAAAATGTCACTAAAAGCGCCATTTCGTTCATATAAAAGCATGGATGACCGCGATTAGCCCGTATGTTGCAGTCTTTTGGACGCTGAGTCGATTGGTTTTGGTCCGAAAGGGCTGCGATGCAGCGTTCCTCCTTTATTCCCAATCGAACTTGGTTGAACAAGCGGTCACGTGCTCCTGCGTACGCGAGTCACCTGGTCACCGTGCCTGGGAGGCGGGATAATACAGATCAGGCGCTAGGCGTAAATTCACAACCTGCACCGATGGCATGGCAGGGCGCTGGGCAGTAGCAAGCTATGACTGAGTATGAGTCAGGTGTGAAGCAGGGAGACAGGTACTGATAGAAAACAGGTGTAGAGTGACGACTGGCCCCGACTGTGGGGCACCGAGCCGCAGAAAAGTCAAAGTATGTTAAAGGGGCAGGGTACAACTTACTAGCCTGTTTGACCTTTTTTGGGTGCAGTCCTGTCACTCGAGTTGAACCTTGGTGTGAAAGTTGTCGCCTGCTGGCGTGGTGACCAGGTGATTTGGGCACCCAGGAGCACGTGATCGCTTCTTCAACCATGTTCGATTGGGAATAAAGGAGGAACGCTGCATCGCAGCCTTTTCGGACCAAAACCAGTCGACTCAGCGTCCAAAAGACTACAACATATTGCCCAATCGCGGTCATCCGTGCTTTTATAAGAACGAAATGGCGCTTTTAGTGACATTTTGTATACAAATCCCCATCTAGTAGGGCGCAGTCACCCGGTTTCGGAGGAAGTGCGCGAGTTCGATTGGGATTCAAGTAGGAAGGGAGCGTCTCAGCTCTGCCAAAGTGCAGTCAGGGTGCTTGGTTCTGTAATGGTCCCCCCAGGGCTTGTCTACTGTCCTCCTTCGTGCGTGTCCAGTATGCTCCTCCAGCCGGGTCTCAAGGAATCGCTCCGTCTCGCCAACATATTGCTGTACACATTTCTTGCATTTTGTTTCGTATACCACATCTTTCTGCATGCAGGCATCCCGGGCCCCCGTCTGTCATGTCAGGCACGGTCCCTTGGGCCGACCTCTCGTTCTCCGCTGTGTTGGGTTTTTGGCTTTAAGGCATAATGGACGTACTAGGGCCGACTGGCACAATGTACGCTTCAGGCTTCCAGCATTCTCGTACACGACTCTGACGGGTATTTTATATTTTCGTATGGCTTTGTTTACATGCCCATTCTGTTATTATAATTGTGCCCTTTGGACATTGTCCAAAGCCCTTTCCTCCAAATTAGATATATGGCATAGGAAAAAGCTGAACTTTTCATGAATATCCACCATCTTCATCACATCACCAATAATCACCTGTACTCCCAAACCAATAGCATCCGTATTACCTCTATTTGCAGAGAACGTCAACTTCTGTGGTTTGGCCACGTTGTCCGACAAGGCCCTCACTCTCCAACGGAGACGCCCCCCCCCCCCCCAATGCGTTGGATCAACACTGTCCGAAAGGATCTCAAGAGTGTCGAACTTACCATCAGCAACGCCCAGAACTGGCCAAGCTCGTGACCGTAAACAATGGCGAGAAACTGTCAACAGATGCGTTAGCATATGCTTTGAGTGACATAAGAAACTGTATTATTCTTTGGTCGCGTGTGTGACAGGCGTATGATCGTGCTGTATAGAGACGATGGACTTGCCGCCGTCCGTAGTGTCTCTGCACGCGATGTTGACTTTCTCGACATTACATTTCAATCACCAACTGGCCGATTTAGTGCGTATCGAACGACACCCCCCCCCCCCCCCCTCTACGTGCACCGACTGTCACCCTAACCACCCCCTGTCATTCTCAAGAGCCTGCCAGTTGAGATCAATAGACGTCTGTCGGACATATCATGTGACGAGGCCGCATTCTCAGAGGCGAAGAGCATTGTACAATAACGCACTGGAGGTCGGCGGCTACGCTGAGCGAGTCGAGTACTCTGAGAGAAAGAGACCAGCAGAGAAAAAGAAGAAAAGATCGAGAAAATCAACATGTATGATCTGGTTCAATCCCCCTTCAGCCTGAATGTATCTACTGACGTGGCACGTTGCTTCCTGAAGGCAGTTGACAGACATTGCCCAAAGAAGTCACCATTCCACAAGATCTTCAACAGGAATAATGTCAAGGTCAGCTATTCCACAATGCCGAATATGCAGTCGATTATCCGGCGCCACAACAACCGAATCTCGAAAGAGGATAGCAATGACCGGCAGCCGGCAGAGGCCAAGTCATGCAACTGGCGAATCAAGCCAGAATGCCCCATGCACGACAAGCGCCTGGATAGCAGCATAGTGTACCACGCCTATGAAATAGCGACACAGTTGATAAGAAATTCTACTATGGCCTAACCGAGAACACGTTCAAGCAACGATACAACGGCCACCTCATCACATTCCGGCATGAGCGGTATGAGAAGACCACGGAGCTGTCCAAGCATGCTTGGAAGGTGAAAAGGGCAGGCAAGCCGCACCCAATTGCATGGTCCACCGTTCGATCTGCAAGTAAATCAAGCTCAAGCAAGAGGTATGATCTCTGCCTCACGGAGAAGCTCTTCATCGCCCGTGCAGACAAAGCCAGATGCCTCAACGAGCGATCTGAGTTGTGTCGAAGTGTCGCCATGAGAACAAATATTACTTGTCAAATTTTGTCACCTGATCCTAGCAGAATATCGCTTAGTTGATAATAATTATACAAAGTTGAAATTGAGGTATTTTAGTATTTTACCACTGTCTCTCGTTCATAATATGATTCATATGGCGCATGACCGGGGCCCTGCCAATTGGGCTCTGGGTGATATGAGCAATACATAACCCTGTCCCGCCCAATCCACATGAAAGGCGCAGCTTTGAGAATCCATCCCCAATCAATACACACAAGGTGTACACCACACGGAATATCAGAATGCAATCGACTCCACTTGTAGCGCACCCGCACGTAGGGAATTTCGTGATCATACTCATAGCCAATCAGAGTCCATGTCCCTGTTTAGACTCATACAAACAAAAGATCCCTTACAGTAGATCAAATAATTTTCGTTGATAAGGAACCACCATATCTCTTCATCTTGTGGGGCGCCATGCTAACTACATGTACATTGCCCGTCCGGTAGTGCAATGTCTCACATATTAAACCAATCATACTGTCATGAGCTACATGTCGTGTTGCTTGTATGGTGCGAATCCATTTTGGTTATAAAGAACCTCGCTTATAGAGAAGTAATTCTCCTGTACAATGGTGTTGGTTATATCAGGAGTTGACTTAGCTATGGTCAAAACAGTACTATCTATACAGTATGGATGCTGTTCACGTTATGAGGTCACCGCTATACACAGGATACTGCATTAATGGAAGAAAACATTACAAACACTGCTACCTTGCACGTTATTTTCAACACAATCAACACACACACAAACACACACACACACACACACACACACACACACACACACACACAAAACACCTTTGACCTTTCGATGGTAGCGGTGCTACGGCAGAAGCCATAGCAACTTGTGCGGGGATTGCACCATTCAACAGCTTGCAAGGCTAAAGAATTGACCGCAACTATTCAGCCTTAGTAGTGGTACACACCACACAGGTATGAAGTGAGTTTTGTAGACACACACACACACACAAGCACACACACACACACACACACACACACACACAAACACAAACACAAACACACACACACACACACACATGCACACACACATGCACATACACGCACGCGGACGGGGGTGCATGCGCGCGCACGCACGCCTGCGTGCACACGCGCGCATGCACACACGCGCACGCACACACACACACACACAAGCACCATGTACCATGTGCACCAACCACGTGAGTCGACAGAATCAGTACAAGGAAAACGTGATGTCGATGTGAACAATTCAAACTAACTGTTGCATAGATATCCTAATCATATGATTAATCTGCGAGAAAACAATCCAATAAGTAAAATTAAAAAAATTCAGAACTATTACAGCCTACATATAATGTATAATTAACTCAGATGGAGAGACAAGGATTAAAATAAAGAAGAAGGGACCAATGCAAAAATATATCCACCCCTGGACAGATTTGTATTCTAGCAATTGCAAACTTTCTTTTCTGAGATAACCGGGTGAATAAACACAGGGAACCAGAAGCTACCTAAGAATAACTGGTGTGGAATAACTGTTGCGGCATCTACCTAATCCATTAAGGAAATCGAAGTACTGTGGTATAACATGCGTGGGATGTGTTCAGTTCATGTGAGACTGCTGTAAGATACAACACGTCACCAAGCAAGGCGGCGGATGAGTGGAGGAAAACCAAATTCTTAACGAGAAGTGTAGAAAAGACAACTGAAAATTATCAAAGATGTACAACTAAGGGGTTGTGTTTATGTGTGTGTGTGTGTGTGTGTGTGTGTGTGTGTGTGTGTGTGTGTGTGTGTGTGTGTGTGTGTGTGTGTACTTGTGTGTGTGGGGGGGGGGGGGGGGAGTAGGATGGGATACAAGAACAGTTTGTGTCATGCTATGGTCATTTATTTTATGATGCATACAAAAGGGTAAGCAGGTGACTGATGACAGGTGTCTAACAAGAAACCTTCAAAACACAAAAATCTTGTCATTACCGGAAGAGCAAACAGCTACTAAGCCCTCACTTGTCACGCAGACACCCATCGGCTCGTCCAGCTCTCCTTTTCCAAACTCAGCCAGCGGTGTGTATGTTTCTGCGGCATATACCTGCAGAGAACATGGACAAAACAGGTGAGTGTACAGGAATAACACGTATTATAGATGGTTGATGCATGGTGATGTATGGATGATGCATGGATGATGTATGGGGGGTCCGTGAATGATGCGCAATTCATGTATGGATGATGGTATCATGGAAGGTATGAGTTAGCATGGTTAAGCCACACTGGAATATAAGCCACACTGGGGTATAATCCACACTGGAGTATAAGCCACACTGGAGTAGAGGCCACACTAGAGTATAAGCCGCACTGGAGTATTAGCCGGACTGGACTAAAAAGCCCCATCTGAACAATTTGAATTGTTTGGCACCAAATAGAAACGTCTTTCTCATTTACTACTGTTGATTTGATCATCGTAGTATAAGGCACACCGGCTTCTCTTTGGATGTATTACTGCTAGGTGTGTAAACCACTTTGCTACTTCTGAAGTATGTTTACATTCATTGAAAGATGAATATGCGTCAAACCAGCAAATGGCAACAATTTCGGTCAGGGATTCAGTAACGTTACCTCAAACAACGTCCTTTTCCATCGGCGTTAACTGAATCCACCACAACATGGCACGTATATTAAATTAGGCATTTCTCTAAATGTCAACATGCAAGCCAAGCATACAGTAAGAACACAGCTACAGTACATCCAAGACTTGGTTGTAGCATTGATGTGTGTCCACTGTATTCCTTGTTCTGTTCTCCAGACATTCAGCACTGCACCCAGGGTGAGTATGCATGGACACTAGGTAAACCCTAAAGCATATGTGCCAGAGGTCCCATTTTGGAAATCATGCTAGTACTAGTATTCATTGCAAGCTTACATGTGAGACACACTTTTATACAAGAAAGTAGTGTAAGAGTAGAATGTACCCTTGTTTTTTGAACTGTAAGAGCTAATGTACTCTTGCTTTACTTGTACTCTGTGCATGCAGTGTACATCACTTTCTGTGTTCATATCAGTGTTGTCTGATGATTGTACTGACCATGAATCACAGACTAGCAACAAACTGACCATGCTCCACTGTTGTATATGTACTGGGTACTACTCTCTGCCTGTAGGTATTTAGAAAGAAGAACACGACAACAAACTCTCCCTTACCATAACACGTCCATTGTCATTATCTGCGACTAGTACATTGCCGTAGGCATCTGTAGTGACATCTTCCGGTGCCTGCAGCTGCCCAAAAGCGCTGCCCTTTGACCCAAACGAAGTGAAAAACCTGAAAGCGCTGCCCTGAGAACCGAACGAAGTGATATACTCTCCATCGACGGTCATCACCTTTTGCAGGAATAAAAAATTGAACATTCACACACACACACCACTGTGGTGACAGAAAGAGTATAGATATAACAGGAGTGTAAGAATAATACTCCAACACACAGTGCATAGCTACTATCATTATGACTGTAGTGATGATAAGGTTACTGGTGTGCAACTGTAAAAATTCAAAACCTGAGGTAAAACATGGACCTGGCACCAACATTTGATTACTATGTATGTATTTATTGTAGCACAGACACTGTTTGGTTTGTGACATGATGTATAGACATGATGTTTAAGAGTCTAACTTCACATCAGCCTATACACTCTTACACTGAAAAGGACAAGTAACAGGCGAACATGGCCAACATGCACTTGCCTAACGTACACATTCATTTCTGATTGGATGAATATTTTCCTGCCCGACCCTGTCCAGCGTATATTCCGATAGATGGGTTGTCAATACCAGTAAAGTCTCATGCACACTAGACATGCAAAAAAGAAACAATATATTTCAAGATCTACATGTAGATGTTGCAATTTCAGTGGATATAATTGAAGAAGGTGGCTACTCCAAACTTTGGATCTCGGCTCTTGCCAGAGAGCAACACATTTTGCAGTGCTCTCAGAGCACAGATTACAGTAACGTTCTGAAGCTCAGCTGATACAGGGGGAATTCCCCGGAACACTGCATATTGCAGAGGGTGGCACTTTTTTGCAGATTTTCTGAGTCAAACATTCTACTTGCTGCTAATGGGCTCTAGACGGCAGTCATGAGTCAGTCAAGTGTCAAGTCAATCAGAATGAAGTATAAGCACCAAAGTTTGGAACAACCACCTATAAATACCTGGCACAACGATATAAAGCTGAACTTGCTACTGCTTCCATTTCTGCTGCTGCTGCTGCTGTTGTAGTAGTTTTAGTAGTAGTAGTTTTGTTGTAACTTGTTGTTGTTGTTGTTGTTGTTGTTGTTGTTGTTGTTGTTGTTGTTGTTGTTGTTGTTGTTGTTGTTGTTGTTGTTGTTGTTGTTGTTGTTGTTGTTGTTGTTGTTGTTATTGTTGTTGTTGTTGTTGTTGTTGTATTCCGCATCATTGTTGACGTTGTTGCCAGATTGACATGATAACATACCTGGATGCGATGGTTGTTACTATCAGCAATAAACAACCTGTTGTGGTACACTGTGATGCCTCTTGGCAATTGAAATTGGCCTTGACCACTACCTGCTGTTCCAAACGCATATCCTGTCTCACCACTGCATGGCACAATCTGTACAGTACCAGTGTACATAGAAGAATATACACCTGTGAGTTGTTGTCTGATGATCGATTAAAACCGTGAAACTCAGAGTTACAGCAAAAACGCTTTTGATTCCTCTCAAGTGTGTGTGTAAACCGGTGAGATATGTAATTCATTTGCAGACAACTTACAACTAGATTTGGTGGTTGGGCTGTGACAGAGCTTTATGAAGACTTTCTAGAACACGAACATGTAGTGATGTACCGGTATGCCAATGGAACCCACATGCATATTCATACATACACACGCTCACGCACACAAACGCACATGCACACACACACACACACACACACACATATACACACACCAATGCTTGCACATACACGCCCACACTACACTACACACACACACACACACTACACACGCACACACACACACACATGCACACACACACACACATGCTCGCACATACACACAGTGCACACGCACAGACACACACACACCCACACACACAATCGTGTACACATCCTCAAACCCCCACACACAAACACAAGCCAAATGGACCCGCCCACCCACACTCAAACGGCTCCACCCACCCAAGTCACACCAATGCCCTCAACCTGCATACCAATGCGCTTGTCCTTTTACGTGCTCATTTCCAAAACTTGAACGGCAAGGGATTCAAAGGCATCTTGAGATGATGGATTGGCTATCGGACCATCCAACAGCAGATAACTTATATTGAAATCGACTAATTCTGGATGGGCTTCGGGAAATTATTCCACTTATAGGCTCACCACACATGTGTGAGTGGTTTAGGACATGGTGCAGAAAAGGGTTTGACAGCACTTACCCCCCCCCCCCCCCCTAGTGAACGTAATATTGTAATACATGTATACTAGATGGCAACACACGCAGTCACAATCTGGCTTCTGAGCACCCACCAACAGAACTAGCTGACACACCCATCAAACATGCACTCCCCCTCCACCCCCTCCCAACACACACACATGCACGCTTGCCAATGCATAATTATGTTACAATCGACTTCCATCCTAAAATTATCAACTGGGATTGTACTGTGTTAAGAGTATATGATTGATCAGCTGTTACATGATTGAAAACAGTCCCACAACTTGATGCTGAACAGTGATATAGGCTAGTTCTATCTTTATGTATACCACAGTACACTGTTAGTGGGTAGGAGAGGGATTTTACACAATACAACTGTACATGTACAGTGTGTACTGTATGGTTATTACCTGAACCCGATGGTTCGCTGTATCAGTCACTGCAAGGCACTGGCCCAGTACGCTGTGGTTCACTTGGACAACACCTAATGGGTAGTCGAACTCGCCAATTTCTGATCCACACTTTCCTATGGTGCTGAACTCGGAGAAATCTTTGTCAGTGATCTGCAGAGGGGATAGACAGGAGAAATCAAGATGATTTAGAAATGGCTAATAGCTTCGTCAAATTCTTCGTACCAGTTTTCGAGGAGACAAAAAGTATAATTAACTATAAGCAGTATTAGTGCCACTGACATTGCCATGCAAGTAAACGCGTTTAGAGTTAAAAAGGGTGTGTAATTCCAGAAACGATTTTCTGCTGCGGTCATCAGTGGACTTTACGGAACTACTTTACTACTTTACGGAACTACTTACAAGTTACTGTAAGGGTAAGCGGTGAACATACAAAGTAAGGGTAAGCGGTGAACATACAAGTAAGGGTAAGCGGTGAACATACAAAGTAAGGGTAAGCGGTGAACATACAAGTAAGTGTAAGCGGTGAACATACAAGTAAGTGTAAGCGGTGAACATACAAAGTAAGGATAAGCGGTGAACATACAAGTAAGGGTAAGCTGTTAATAGACAAAGGTTAAGTAGTCTTGTGTTGATACAATAGACACATAAGAGTTGCTGTTGAATGTGATAAAACTAAGTAAAACGGCTAGTAAACGAGGTGGTGATCATACAAAGTGTAGAAAAAAACATTCGTATAAGGCTAGTATACTCATATTTGTGTGTGGGGGTTTGTGTGTGTGTGAGGGGGGGGGGGGGTTGTGTGTGTGTGCGTGTGTGTGTGGGGGGGGGGGGGGGGGCACGAGTTCTCCCACACCAACAGTCAGTCTGTCTGTGCCACTTTCAGCTTGTTGCCAGCAGCACTGCCCAACATGTCAGCGATGCTTCTGTACTGCGGCCGGGTTCAAGCGTCACAACTGCAATTGTGCTGCGAGACCATCTGCTGCTGAGAGAGCAGCTCTGCCCCTCAGCTGCCCACATTGTAAACGCAATTTCCGCCGTCAGCAGGACCTAGCCAGACATTCGCGGTCCTGCTTGTGATCCGACTCCCGTTTTCTGGTCCCCTTTTTATAGGGGTGACACTTGCCCATCTGGGCAGTCATGCTGCTAGTAGTAGTAGTAGTAGTAGTAGTAGTAGTAGTAGTAGTGGTAGTAGTAGTAGTAGTGTGTGTGTGTTCAGATGTGTGTTTTTGTGTAGGGGATCTGTGCATGTTGCCGGATGTGTCTGTTTGTTGGGCCTTAAATATCAATGTCGATAAGATAAAAAAATCCTTGTGGCTGATAGGAACATCGCACCATCTGACATCGGCAATATTGTTGTTTTGAAAGGGAAGGCAACAGAGGATTTGCCCCTATTCTTCTCTACCTTGGTTCTGTTGCTACACCGGTTTACTCGCTAGAAGAGAATTGTGCCGGCGCAATGTTGAAGCACACAATACCTTTGCAAACTGTGATGTGTTTTGTGCCCAAAACCTGTCCCTGTGCACCAAATGACATCTAAACTTTTCCTGTATAGCCTCCATCCTAGTGTATAGTACTGAGTGCTGGACTCCGCTGAAAGCAGACCTTGAAACCAGGCATTTCAACATGTTTTGGACAGCATTGCCCTGAGGGGTTAGGTCACCTTGCCAGAATGCCAAACCTCCCAGATTTCCAATCAACTCCTGTTTGGACAGCTGCCCAATGCTTCTTTGAGATGTTGTCCAAGTAAGAAAAAAACAGGCGATGGGATGCAACTACTCATGACTTAAAAGCTAGGGACATCCCCATCTTTTGTCGGTCTGAGATGGCTGATGGTAGAATGTAGTGGTTTACGACGGTCATGAATTGGGCTTCTCCGCACTGACTGACACCACCAACAATGTCGATAGTCTGCTTCATTGTTCTGTTGATTATTATTCTCCAAACTCTGCTACCTTGCTTGCCACACATGTCTGGAGGAGCAACACATTTTTATCTCCTTGCAATGTGGCTCAATCCTGTGTTCTACCTGGTATCTGCTCTATAAGCCTTTCATCGCTTATGGTCATGAAATGTCACAAGTTGGCAGTGTGTGCGTGTGGTTCTATGTGCACTTGAGAGGGAATGCATGTATGCAGGTATGTGCATGTTTTTGAGTGTGTATTCTGTGGGTGGGTGGTTGAGCGTGTGTGGGTGCATGTTAGTGTAAGTGTGTGTTTGGGTGTTAACGTGTGTGGGCCAATGTATGAAGAGGAGAGAGTGTGAGTGAAATAACAGTGGTGCTGCACAACAAATACAGGTTTTGCTCGCAACATGAGCCATTAGTTAGTAAGTGATCATCATTGCAGCAAGAAAACCATTTCAATAAAATTGTATTACAAAGAGGTATTCACTTCTGTATGGGTTATAATGTGGGTATCCAATGACAACATAGTTTGTGTAAAATGTACATGTATGTGTAATTGTATGTTGTTGATTACTCAGGGGTCGTCTGTAAACACATGTATTTACTTAGAGAAGTCTAACAGGCGTTTGTGGTGGGTTCGCCTGCAAGGCGTTTCTAAAAAATACATTTCAGAGTGCATGCATACCATACCGCGTGTGTACATGTACATGATGTACTATACTGTAGTGGATATGGAAATCCGGTCGCACGTCTAGCGGCCCCAGGGCGCTGGCCATGCAGCCGTGGGCAAACAGACCACACATGCGCTGGAACGCGCTGGGCGCATCGGAACAACATGACTGTGCACTGTTCTGTACGCGCTGAGGGCGCCGGCCCTGGTTAATCGACTGGATTTCCATGTCCACGACAGTAGCACTGCTACAGCTAGTACAGGTAGGCGTTGAGATGCACTACACTGCACTACACGCATCACGGCAGAGTAGACAGGGACACATGCACAGCCATACTCTGTACTCCCAGAAACATGCGCTTGCATGCAGTGACAGGCAGCTACCAGCAGACTTGTAGGTGTAAAACAGGATCCTTGGGCTTGGTTTCAGGTTCAGGTGCACATGTAGCCCATGACAGTATGACTCAGGTGCACTTGCTTTACATGTACATGCGGCCCTTTTAGGATTTGGTTTGTTATAAACGAAACCTGTTCGCTATAAAGGGTCAATTTTGTATGGTTTCAAACAGGGACATGGACAAGGGTTCGCTATATCACGAAATTCGTTAATATGCGAGTTCGTTATAAGTGGAGTCGACTATACTGTATATGTGTTCATAGCATGGTGTTTATTATGAGTGGTGTTATCTACATTTGGGGGTGGGCGTTTCTGGTAGGTCAAGAAAGAACCGCCTATTAGACGTCTCTTAGTAAATACATGTATTTACTTAGAGACGGCATTTCACTGTGTCACGGTTTCTATTTTGATTCTCGAGGCTTTTTTGAAGTTTTTCTGAGCAGCTGGCTTTACTGCATTGTTGATCAATTTTGCACAGAAAAGAGGCTACTGTTTGCATGTAATCCTTACAACATGATTGGAACACCAAGACTATACCTGTAGTCGGTGGTTGTCAGTATCAGCAATGATCACTCGTTCATCATCTGTTACATGCACGGCTGCTGGCCAGTTGAACTGTCCACAGTTTGTACCCCTCTGACCAATCGTCTGCTTGAACTGGCCATCAACACCGTGTATCTAAGTGTATTGACAAAAAGGAATACAATTTACAAATGTTAACACAACCATGCACCCATACATAGCCCAGATCCAAACATACATGTAGTAAACATTTGGTTGCAGTTCTATAGTGTGAATCTAGCGAAAAGATCGTCCAAAACTGTCAGTCACACCTACATACCCAATGTGCTGTTGGACACCCCATTCCACTTGCACATTACCACCACAGCCAGGACAATTTAGTTGAGATATTGACTTTTCTGACCCTCCAGATAGCCTGTTGGTCCAACATGGTGACAGACCTCATCAGTGGAGGTTGTTCATAATGGTTGATTAAGATACAATAAGTGATTGATGTTGTATAGGCGAAAACTTTCACAATTTCATACTTTCTCTCTAGTGTGGCATGCCCTAGCAAACAAAGGGGTTAGGTGATAACCGACAGTTTTAACAGATGTGACAATACAAGCATCCAGTGTTTGGACATTCAGCACTCGTATGTATGAGTGGCTATTGGCTACTAGTAGCACCTCTCTTTGTTTGTTGATTTTGCACCAATTCTAGTACTGCAGACGACCTGAAAGCATGTCCCAGTAACGCACACTTCCACTAGCTGTTATCACATAAAGCCTCAGTGTCCTATAGTATAGCATGCCACACTTCGATGTAGAAAGCGCAGAATTCCGACTGTTTTACCCTATTATAACATTATCTCTTCACCCGGATCATCCACTATTACCAACCAGCACTGATGAGCTCTGTTGGAGCAAAGCAGCTGCCTTCAGGGTCTAAGATATCAATATCACAATGGAAATGTCCTCGTTGCGGTGGTGATGTGCAATTGGAATGGCTCGGTCAAGAAAATATTGACGAGTGGGGGTGTCACAGGTATTCAAAGTCTTTTGTGACTTACAATGATCACCTTTCTCCAGTTTGATAGTTTAGAAAAACTGATCACGTCTGAAGAGAAATGACACTCTGCTCATATCAACTTCTCAGCTCTTGTGTTCACTGGGTGTACAGGTTAACTGGATGGTGCAATAACGTAAAATTTAGAATGCTGAAGAATTCATCCAAGGGATTGTCTACTACTGTTTCAGACAGTCTTGAGCATCTTCAACCTGACCAATTGGGATCCTTATTTTTCAATTCTACTAATGCACACACAGACCCTCCCGAGCAGGTCATCTATCAGAGTGACATTTACATACAAACTGTACTTGTCGGTTAGCATTGTACTGTGAGTTCAGTTACCTTTATTCTGTTGTTGAAGGAGTCACAGATGATCAGGTCACCAGCTTTGTTGGTTGCTAGTGCCCTAGGAGAGTTAAACTGATCTCTCCCACTGCCCCAACTACCAAACGAGTATCTCGATTTGTGGATCTGTGTGTAATCACGCTGCAATACAGGAGAGCAGTAAGAACAACAGCAATCAACACTAGGACAATAGAGGGAGAAAGTAGTGATGTCAAACCTGGCTGGGTGGTCATACACTTCATACTTCGATTTCAAATTTTCATTGGCCTCATGTTTCGTATAAGGAGTAGATGATGGTATATACATCACCCTAAGGTGAGGGAACACATTTTTGACTATACAACCCTACAAAAATTGATCAGAATGGGTAGCGCTATCAATCCTCCGGAATGTCCATGACAAAGCAGCTTCAAGCGCTGCCATGACCACAACTCAACCTTGAGGCAACAACAATGGAGTCGGCAGCAAAACGAACAAAGGAAAGGACTAAAGTAATATCATTTGTAGCATAACTAGTCATATATACTCATGGTTTTGCCCTGCATAGTGAAACTCTGACTTGAACACACACCAGTGTTGTGTGTATGTAAACTATACTCAACTAATGCATGATGACGTCATACACGTACCACTATACACCCAGTCATGCAGGGCAACAGACTGTAATTTGATACACCGTCGCATAAACTTGTACTTGTAAAAGTAAGCCTTTCAAAAGTAGACCAACCTTCTGTGGTGGAGATGCAGCTACTACTGCTGCCGCTGCTGATGATGCTGTTGATGGTGAAGGTGACAACTGTCTGGAGGCACGTGACTCCAGGGCAGCAAAGCGTGAATCCACTGCGGCAATGCGTGAGTCCACTGCAGCCAAGCGTGTATCCACGTTGGAGCTGAGTGAACTGAGGTTAGTGACGACGGTAGAAACTCTCTCCCTCAATGCATCCATGCCGTTCACTTTCTCTTCCACAGCTGTCACTCGGGTGATGATTGCCTGCTGTTGTGTGGAGATCATTTGCAATTGAGTCAGAATGTCTGAAAACTGACTCAAATAGCGATCTGCGGACTAGACAGACACGTAAAAAATAACACCACCCACGCACACACACACACACACACACACACACACACACACACACACACACATGATCGTATTCACACACAAACACATACATTCACACGCATACACACGCATACACACACACACACTATGAAGTATTATGCTCTGCGTGCACCCAATTGAAGCATTTCTACCTATGGATCACAGAAAACACAAAAATCTCGTGATGTACAACGAGACAATTTCACAAATCCGAAAGAGAGCATTCAATTATTTTGCAAGGAAGAATTCAAAATTGACGGAGTGGAGCAGTAATCTCTGTATATTGAGTAGTACTAACCGGTCACTGCTATCATGGATTTTGGAGTCTCGTCCGTAATTATCGAAAAATTAAAAAATCCGTCCTCGTGCAAAATTGTCTCTAACCCACCCACCGACCCCACCCCATTTTTTCCCATTAATATTTTGATTTTTCCCAATGCCCAGCTAGAAAATAAGAACTCCTGACCCCAGGGTCACTGACTGCACCTGTGTCAGGTACATTGTACTAGTAGCTACTGTACTAGTTTGTTTTGTTTCTGGTTTTTGTTTGTTTTAGTTTTAGCAGGTCTACCAACGGCCATGCACGTCCTTCAACTACATGTTCATCATACTGGTGTTTGCGACATTACGAGTACAGTCAGTACACTGCAAAGCCAGTGAAACAACTGTATGAAAGTCACTGAAAAAATCTATTAATAAAAATGTCGGCGTGGAGAAAGCAATTTTATTAGTGCAATTAGGAGTATAATCGATGCAGACATGGCCAGATTTTGAATAACATAAAAATCCTTAAAAATTCCATGAACTCGTTGTTGTCTGGCCATGTCTGCATCGATTATACTCCTAATTGCACTAATAATAAAAATGTATGAAAAATTGACTCAGAAAAAACAAAAAAATTAAATTCCGCCAGCACTCCTGACCACCCACCCCCTTTTTGCATGAGGACAGATTTTTTAATTTTTTTTATTACGTACGACCCCTTATTAGTTATGGCTCTGATCCACTACTTCATGTTTTCATGTTACCATTCTGGATAAGGGACCTATGCAAATCTACATGTATAACCCCCCCCCCCCCAGATGAAAACATAATTTCACTGGGCTATACTATGCATACTGCAGATGCACTCCACACCTATGTACACGCCACATGGCTAATGTCATAGGAACAGCCGGTCACCAGCCAGCATGTGATTGTGAGGCCTGTGCTTTTCAATACAATCATCTTGCGCACGTCAGTGTTTTGCCTTGTTGAAGTGTGACAGTCCAGACAGGGTGCGCCGCCTCCACTGAAATATCAGCACCCTTATCATGTGTAATATAATGTCATGCTGCACAGCCAGCTAAGACTTAGGGGGCGTTCGAATTGTCTTCATCAACTGTTCGAACAAATGTTTTAAAGAGATTAGTTGAAGTGTCCCATTAGAAGGGTTACTGTCATTTCAGAGTTTCTCAGTGGAATTGTCATGGCGATGATGACGTCCGATCAGATTGACCATCTCCACGTACAACGTGACGTAGCTATTCCAAATTTTTCGGAACTAATTCATCTCTCCCATCGGATGAGATTGTGGAGTTTCGCGGAGTTTTGAGGAGTTCTTTTTTCTGAAGAGGCCTATAAGGCCACCTCTTCAGAAAAACGAATCTCCTGGAAAAGTCAAAGAGTGACAATTTGGCGAACGTGCCCTTAGAGTATGAGTGTGTACATAGGCAAAGCCAGGTCTTATGTATGCTCTGGTAGCTGCACCATTCAGGCATGCATCAGCCAGTATTTCCCATTTACATGTACACATTGCATGTATACCCAGCTAGGCTGTATGCTAACAGTACAGCACAGTGAGTACAAAGTCATGTAATACTATGTGAGTACATCCATACCATAGAGGGAAGTGAGATCTGCAGTAAGTGCATGTGAACATCAGCCGATGTGGGTCTAGATCCAGGATCATCATGCAGACACGACACGATTAGAGAATGTAGTGGATGATCCGAGCCCAGTCGATCCAGATCTGCTTTGCGTCGGCGACCCTCCGGAACTGATCTCCGCGTTCCATTCTCCAGCAGAACAGTAGCTTCAGTTGGGGAAGGCGGTCGTCCCACAAGCAGCGACAACATCACCACTCCTAGAGAAAACACATCCAGTTTTTCGTCGTATGTTGTGCCCACTTGCAGGCTCTCTGGCGGCATAAAATAAGGCGTACCGGGGCACCGTGTCAGAGTTGTCAAGTCTGCACCTTGACCACCGTGAAGAGAGCGGGCCAAACCTACATCAGCTATCTTGGCTCTCCCTGCCGTGATCAAGATGTTGTGGGGTTTCAAATCGCGATGCAAAATGTTCTTGCCGTGTAGAAAGCGCAAACCTTCCGCCGTATCGACAAGATACTGAAGGCTTTGCGCGAATGGCTCTCTTGGAACAACTCCAATTCGATCACCTAGCGAGCCGGCCATCAGTTCTACCACTATACACGGAGATTGATTGGGAGCAATGCCGATCCCGAGCAGTCGCACAATTCTTTCATGCTGCAGTCGCCGCATGACTAGGCACTCAGTGCCGAATCGCTGGAGAAGAGCTGCACGCCCGACATTGCCCTGTTGGAGTAAAATACTATGTAAGACCTTCACAGCAACAGGGAGACCCTCCAACTCACTTGTATACACAGTGGCATCCGAGCCACGGCCTATCTCGGGTTTGTTCAGGTCAACTTGGACGCATCCCAGCCAAATTGAGTCTGGGACACCAAGTATCTCTTGGAGCTGAGTCTCAAAGTTGAACCTTGCCATTGCATTATAATAGTGTAACACACAATCGTCTTGCTCTCGCAACTGTGTGTTTGATTGTGTCTGCGAGTGTTCAGCACCTTGTTATGGCGTTGGACGTACACTGCATTGAGTGTGTGTGTATGTGTGTGTGTGTGTGTGTGTGTGTGTGTGTGTGTGTGTGTGTGTGTGTGTGTGTGTGTGTGTGTGTGTGTGTGTGTGTGTGTGTGTGTGTGTGTGTGTGTGTGTGTGTGTGTGTGTGTGTGTGTGTGTGTGTGTGTGTGTGTGTGTGTGTGTGTGTGTGTGTGTGTGTGTGTGTGTGTGTGTGTGTGTGTGTGTGTGTGTGTGTGTGTGTGTGTGTGTGTGTGTGTGTGTGTGTGTGTGTGTGTGTGTGTGTGTGTGTGTGTGTGTGTGTGTGTGTGTGTGTGTGTGTGTGTGTGTGTGTGTGTGTGTGTGTGTGTGTGTGTGTGTGTGTGTGTGTGTGTGTGTGTGTGTGTGTGTGTGTGTGTGTGTGTGTGTGTGTGTGTGTGTGTGTGTGTGTGTGTGTGTGTGTGTGTGTGTGTGTGTGTGTGTGTGTGTGTGTGTGTGTGTGTGTGTGTGTGTGTGTGTGTGTGTGTGTGTGTGTGTGTGTGTGTGTGTGTGTGTGTGTGTGTGTGTGTGTGTGTGTGTGTGTGTGTGTAGTCTGTAGACTACAGACTGAAGTTTAGTCCCGTTCCGCACTGGGGTATGCATTCCCGTTCTCACCTCCCTGTTTGCAGTCTACAATAGTACAAACACAATGTCATGGAGACCTACACGTACAGACAGAAAGAGCTCTCTCTCGCCTCAACACTAGGTGGTGAACGTTTTGATCGCAATCGGCCACCGGCACCGCAAACGGCGCAGCCACGTGCCGGAAAGCGTGGGTAGATCCCCCAGTACCCAGTGCAGTACCGCATAAAAATGAAGCTGTCATGGATCGTGGACAGCTAGCTTGCCTAGCTAGCTGGGCGGCCGACCACAAACTGACTGGCGAGTGGCGAGTAGGCAGATACATGTATGCCTGTACATCTGTTGACGTCATCAAACATGACAAACCCACAATACAAGGAACGTAACCATGGAAACTGTTGGTTGCTCCCTAGACTGAAGATCGTGCTATCCACTGAGTCTGTCAGTGTCAGTGAACTGTCAGTGGCTCGGCTTGAGCCGCTTGACACTCGATTCCAGTTGACGGCTTGACGACTGCCATCCAGGGCACACGCCATACCCATTGAGCCTTCGACCGGCAAACGGGCAAGAAAGCACCAGTCCCTGTTCAATGCACAGTGTTTCGTGGAATTTATCTCTCATCAGTTGAGCTTGAGTAAGCTGAGAAAGACTGCGCTACAAGAGCACCACTTTCATCCTGCTCTCCAGGCCGGCATAACATCATGAAGGATTCAAACTTAACCAGGTGTTTCGAATCCAGCGCTAGTCAATCCAAAGATACCTCGCGAGTTACTAGGGAGGTTGCGCACAACGAAAATCACTGTCCGGGATCGAGTAACGAAAATTGCTCCGAAAATCCATCCAAACGTGACCGAAACAGAGCAGATCTACGAAAATACTTTTCGCTACCTGGAGTACTAAAATTCTGATATTTTACGACTCCCTGGCTTAAATGCTCGTACTCGTGGCCAGGATACAGCTGCCTTAGTATTACCTACTGTACATATTGGGTATGGACTGCGCTCAGTTTCTTTTCTGGCGGCAGGTCGGTGGAACACTCTTCCTCCAAACTGTCGTCAGGCACAATCTGCTGGTACTTTTGCTCACCTCACAAAGATTCACCTAGGCCTATAGGCTAGGGTTCCCTGTAACAAGGCCATGCCTGTTGGGACTCCCCTAGTCAAATAATAAATACTACTACTACTACTACTCTTCGCACCCGCGCGGCCGCTGCGTCGACCCCACTACGAAAAAGTTTACGCGTTGTGCGCAACCTCACGGTTTACGAATATTCCTTAGCTTTTTTCGTTAAAAAATATTCGTTACGGCACTACGAATTTCCGTTGTGCACAACCTCTCTCTTGACTTGCTTGTGTGAGGGAAGGGGCTAAAAGAGCATACAAGAGGGAGAAAACTCAAGCTTTTAAAGTGATGTTAGAGTAATTCATCTCATAGTACAGAATATGCTACATCATCAGCAAATCAAGTACCAGTACATGTAGTCTCTTTGATGCATATTCTAGTATCATGTCAAACAAATGTTCGGCTAGGAGCAGGATTGAGGAGAAACCA